CCACCTTTCTTCGGCACACATTGCACCGGAGAAGTCCATGAGCTATCAGAGATTGGATACACCACACCTGCATCTAGCCACTTGATCACTTCTTTCTTCACCACCTCTTGCATTGCCTCATTGAGCCTCCTTTGATGTTCCAAGGAGGGCCTTGCATCATCCTCCAAAATAATCTTATGCATGCAAAATGTGGGGCTTATTCCCCGAATATCGGCCAGAGTCCATCCAATTGCCCTTTTACGCCATTGAAGCACCTCCAGAGTAGCCTCAACCTGCATGTTAGTAAGACAAGAAGAAAGAATAACTGGTAAAGTTGAATTAGAGCCCAAGAATCCATACCTGAGGTGTGGAGGTAGTGTCTTCAACTCCAACACCGGTGGCTCCTCAATTGATGGTTTGGTTGGTGGAGTTTTCCGATTTTCAAGATCCAAAGACAATTTTCTGGGCTCATAGGAATAAGAGCCCATCCCATGTAAGGCACTGACACACTCCACTCTGCTTGCATCATCATTAACATCAAGATTTAATAGCACGACCTCAAGGGGGTCCTCCACGTTAATCATAGAACTTGTGTCATCCACGATCACAGCTGTGACAATGTCCACAAATGAGCACACCTCGATGCCATTGGGTTGCTTCATGGATTTGCAAACATGGAAGACTACCTTTTCATCACCTATCCTGAAAGTGAGTTCCCCTTCTTTCACATCAACTAGAGCCTTCCCCGTAGCAAGGAAAGGTCTCCCTAATATGATCGGGACCTCATAATCTACCTCACAATCCAATATCACAAAATCAACTGGCAAGATGAATTTGTCCACCCTGACGAGCACATCATCAACAATACCCAATGGTCGCTTCATAGATCGGTCTGCTATTTGCAATCGCATGGAAGTTGGCCTCGGAGGCCCAATACCCAAAGTCTTGAAAACTGAGAAGGGCATTAAGTTGATGCTTGCCGTAAGATCACATAAAGCTTTGGCAAAGTATGCACTACCAATAGTGCAGGGGATAGTGAAAGCACCGGGATCCTCTAATTTCGGGGCCATTGAATGTACTATGGCACTAACTTGGTGGGTCATCTTGATAGTTTCACAGTCCATTGATCTTTTCTTTGTAACCAAATCTTTCATGAATTTAGCATAACCAGGCATTTGCTCCAAAGCCTCCACCAAAGGCACGTTGATGGATAAGCTCTTCATCATGTCAATGAACTTTTTGAATTGATTCTCACTTTTCTCATTGCTAACCGTTGAGGATAAGGTGGAGGTGGCCTAGGCAAAGGTGCCTTGGCTTTGGGCACCACCGGCTCGGGCATGTCAATCACGTGTTCCCTAGACGGGTTCATGGCATCTTGAGTTTCCACCTCGGCCTCATTAATGTCAATCCTCACATCATTGTTCACCTCATTCTCAACCACATCTTCAACTATCAAAGGTACATCATTTTCCCGCAACTCAACATCATTATCCACAACTTGCTTATCTTCGAGGCATGCACATCACCGCCTCTCCCACTTCTTGTTGTAACCGCCATCACATGATTGTTTCCACCCTTTGGGTTCACTACCGTATCACTTGGTAGAGCACCCTTAGGGCGAGTATTCAACGATTGAGAGATTTGGCCTAATTGCACCTCCAAGTTCCGGATAGAGGTATTGTGGGAAGCCAATTGAGCATCAGAATCTTGGTTCTTCTTCATCATTTGTTCGAACATCATTTCTATTCTTCCCATATCATTACCCGAAGAACTAGATCCTTGAGATTGAAAAGGAGCCGGATTGTTCGGTTGTTGGTACATCGGGGGCCTTTGAAAGCCTTGCCCCCGGTTGCCTTGGTTTCCATTGTTGTTCCACCCGCCTTGACCATTGTTGTTCCAATTGTTGTTATTACCATACCAATTCCCTTGATTGCCTTGATTGTTGTTCCCCCAATTACCACCTTGGTTGTTATTGTTCCGATTACCACCACTTTGTTGTTGATTGCCCCAATTTCCTTGAGGTCACCATTGTTGGTTTGAAGAGTTGCCTCTATTTCCTTGATAGTTGTTAACATATTGTACCTCTTCATTTTGCTCATCGTAGCCATCATTTTGAAACCCATCACACTCATCATCAAATTGCTCGGAATTCCCTTGGTTTTGTTTCCTTCTTTGCCTTCTCTTGTTGGTAAGCATACTAACACCTTCCATAGCATTCACTTGGCGAGGGTTTTGGACTTGTTGCAACTGTGCCTTAGCCAGTTGGTTCATAGTAGTTGTCAACTCCGCTATAGCTTGCCCATGGTCGTGTAATTCCTTATGCAAATGAATAACCGTAGGGTCACCTTGAGGAACATTGGCTCTACTTTGCCATGCGGAGGATGTATCCGCCATCTTATCAAATTACCCCCGGCCAATTGATTGACTATGCATTGATTTGTAGTATTGATTCCCCCATAGAAGGTTTGTTGAATCATCGCCTCGGTCATATCATTATTGGGGCATTCCTTCACCATCGTTCTAAACCGCTCCCAAATCTCATGCAAAGGTTCTGTGGGTTCTTGCTTGAAAGCCAATATTTCATCTCGAAGTGCCGCCATGTGCCCAGGTGAGAAAAAATTAGCAATAAACTTATCCGTCAACTCATCCCAAGTTGTCATGGAATGGTTGGGGAGTCTCTCTAGCCAATCCAATGCTTTCCCCCGAAGTGAAAAAGGGAAAAGTCTCAACCTAAGAGCATCTTCGGACACATTCGTCTGCTTGCTACCCCAACATGTATCCACGAACCCTTTTAGATATTTGTAGGCATTTTGATCCGCAGCGCCCGTGAAATACCTACGCTGCTCAAGTAAGGTCAACATCACATTAGTTATCTCAAAATTGCCCACCCGAATTCTGGGTGGGACAATAGCACTCGCATAGCCCTGGTTCGGTAACACCCACGGAACCGCTCTTGGAGGTGGCGGAGGAGGGTCTGGAACGTTTTCATTAGCATTGGCCTGGCGGCCTTGTCGTGGTCCGGGAGGTACAAGAGGCACCTCATCCTCTCCAATTTCATCAACCTCCTCCCCCCGCAAACACTTTTTCAAGAGGGTTATTAGCATTTAAAGCCATTTGGTACCTGTAGTAATCACACACGCAAATTAGTAACAAAGAAGGAAAGAAGAACAACACACAAAACTAACTAAATAGATAGCCAAAACCGTTAGCTCCCCGGCAACGGCGCCAAAAAGTGATCGCTGCCAACTCCGTACCACTAAAAAGTAGCGAGAGAGGGTCGCAATAGCTTTTACCCGATTTGTAGGTCGGGATCGAATCCACAGAGAGCTAGGATTGGAATCGAGTATCAATTTAGCTTAGGATCGCGTATATGTTCTTAATTACACTTCTCATAATTTTTGGGGTTTTCTTTATATTCTACTATTATCAACAACTAATTATAAATGTAGCTAGATTATGCTAAACGAGAATTGCTACAAGTTATATCTAATGGTTTAAAAGGCACTAGGGTGGTGACCTTCACCTAGGTGGCTAATTGACGGGTAATTGTATCTAAGGCACGATTGACATGATTGGGGAAATATGTTATAACCGTTGCTCAATACTACCCACTCTACACCTCCCGGTAGAAAGAGTGGTTTTGCCCAATTGACTCCTCGAGACCAATTGGGTATGCATATTTGCCCAAGCAACTAGGGTTCAAGTCGGGTAGTTACTCTCTCGAGGTTTAACCCATTAATTGGGACTATCAAATCCCTTGAGTCCATCCCAATTCCTTGTTGAGTCAATTTTGGAGACTTAGGCTCTCTTTCTCAAGAAGAGCCCAAGTCAACATAGCACAAACTAGTGTTTACAACCACTAATTCAGAAATTAAACCATAAAATTGACCCAAATAACAAACACCTATAATCAATCTAACCATAAATCACAACACCCATCAATTACCCACACTAGGGTTGAGCCACAACCCTAGGTAATGGGTCTAGCTACTTATGCTTGAAGATAAAATCAGAAAAATAGATGAAGAGAAAGACATATTAATTAAGTACAAAAGTAAATACAAAATTTCGATAATTAAAAATACGTAAAGATGCCAAAAAATGGCTAAGAAAAATCGTCTCACGAGCTCAGCTACCGTATTGTAATATCTGATACCCTAAAATGGAAAAATGTTCTATTTATACTAAGCTAGAAAACTTGGACAAAAATGCCCCTGTGGGGTCAGTGCGGACCGCACAAAATGGTGTGCGGCCGCACTAGGCTCTTGACTCTAAAAAATTAACTCTCTGAACCCAGGCTGTGCGGACCGCACAGAATGGACTGCCGCCGCGGAGGCATCTAGCGCGGTCGGCACAAACACGACCCGGACCGCATAGGCTTGAACCTTGGCACTTGACATCTCTCTGAAGTTTGCTTCCGCGGACCGCATAAAATGGTGGTGCGGCTGCGATGTCTTCAGTGCGGGCCGCACAATATCTACTGCGGCCGCACTGCTTTGATGCCTTAAAATCCAATCTCTGAATCTCCCTAGTGCGGACCGCACAAAGTGTAGTGCGGCCGCACTAGGCTTGTTTGTCCTGAGTTGTCTTCTCTTTGATACTTGTGCAGGTTTCACTCCTTTTAAGCCGATTTTTGACATCTCATCACTTTTTTGCTCAAACCTGCAATCAAGCACAACTTATGAGCCTTTTGGGACTATTTTGTAAGAATTGATAACCAAAGCGTAAGCAAGAAGGAGCATGAAACACGTCAAAATCCCTAGTTATTAGTAGGCCTCGGGGATGGAGTGTCGATGAGGCCGGCTCCTGCTAGTGAAGAGGGCACCTCGAAGCCTGTCAAGGGTAATAAAAGGAAGAAAGAAGCTTCGATTGGATCTTCAGCTAAGGTCGACGCCACGGTCTCGGCTTCGGCTGCTATGGCAAGTCCTCGTACCGAGGATGAAGGTGATGATGATGATGAAGGCCTTTTGGTACAAAGGACGAGATGAGATTTAGATTCTCCGCAGGTCACTGGGTCGAGAATGGTTGATATAGACCAACCCCTTGCTGAGGAGACCCTCGAAGAGGGTGCCGACACAGCCCCTGAGTTCCAAGTCAGACATGGTATAGTCTGCGTTGATGATCCCGTTGCTGGTGGCTCTGGAGGGCCTGAACCCGAAGCTTCTCGGGAACTTAATGCTCTAGGTGTCTTTACTTTGGGCCATTCGTACTCACCGAGGGAATTCAGGGATGCACAGAACCCGAATATCGCCGATGTGAGGGCTTTTCTCGGAGGGAAAAATATGCTTGAAGACCTCCTCGCTGGCATCGACGAGAATATTAACCTTGATGCCCCCGTCGCTCTCGAGGAGGCGGAGAGGCTTCATCAGCACGTAACCCATTGGACATATCATTTGTGCTTTAGACCCCTGCGCTCTACTCTCTAACTTTTCTATGTTTTTGCAGGCTAAGAAGATGTATGACCATGCTTTTTCTAAGCTTCAAGGTGAGCTTTCATGCTGTGGGAAGGAGGTCGAGAAGCTTACCCCAGAGTTAAAAGAGTCGAAGACCTCCTCTGCCCGAAAGGAGGAAGAGTTGAGCAGGCTTCAGGCCAGTTTGGAGGGAGTGTGCCAGGAAAGGGCTGGCCTTGCTGAGCAGGTAACGCGGCATCCATGAACTCACCTTTTTATTCTTATAATTTGACGCTCACCTGCTTGGTTGCCTTTACAGATTGGGCAAAAAGATGCCCTCGTGGGGCGACTTCGGGGAGAGGCTGCTGCCAAGAATGCGGAGATCCTCAAGCTGAGGAGGCAAAATGAGGTCGCAACCTCGAAGAGAGACCTATTGCGGACAGAGTTGGCATCAATACAGGGTCTTCTTCGGAGTGCTCAGGAGGATGTTGCGGTACTTTCTGCGGCCAAGGCTGAGGCCGAGGAAAATGCATCTTCATATAAGAAGGATGTCGCTAGCGAATGAACAAGCCCAAGAAATATCACAGAGGACCGAGCATAAGCTAACTCGGGCATCGCTCACGCTCGTGCAAAGGCAAGGAGGCAAGCTCTCGAGAAGGCAAGCGCTAAAGGCGCCAATCTCTCAGCTGAGATTGAGGAAGCCCGAGACTTGGAGGAAGAATCGGCATTATCGGCCACTTCGAATGAGGGTTTTGGAGATGATCTGGAGAATAGCAATGGCGAAGAGTAGACCCGCGTCTTTATCCTTTCTTTTTTGTGTTTGAATTCCTCGGGGGAAAAGGTCTTGTAACGAATCCCCTTGTAAATATATTTTTGGCAATGTAAGAAAAAAATTTCTCCTTCAAGTCTTCGAATTTATTTTCAATGCTTATGTAAAGTTAGCTTGTTGAATTTTGATGTTGGCTCTTCGGAGCCCATATTTGGAGTAGTGGGGACCCTCGAGATCGGACACCATATCGAGATTAGGTCGATAGCTTTTAAGAATCGATGCTTGTACCAATAGAAATCCTCGGGGTCTCAACGGCTCCCGAGTGTCGCGTGGCAGTATCATTTATGTGCCACGGTTATAAAGCGACCGGGGTGGTCCCACCGGTGCATTCCCCAAAATAACACTGACATGGTCAGAATTAATTGGCCTTCAGGATAGGCGAACAGTCGCTGATTGCTCTATATATGCACTTGCTTATTTCATATTTGAGGACTCTGCTACTTTGAGTAACTATCCCTTTTATAGAGATCTTTTTTGTGCTAGTTCTCTTACCATTTCAAAAGCTTTCGCCCAAGCCTTTACCTTCCTTTTTCTTATTTTACCATAGCCATGGCCGCTACGTCCAAACCCGTTCACCACGGAGAGGAGAGTTCCGCCTCTGCTTCGCGCTCGATCGGTGGTACACCGCCAGTTTCTGGTGAGCTAACCTCGAGGTGCTTTATCACGAGGAGGGATCTTGCGCTAGAGAGACCTCCCAATGTTCAGGTCCATCGGGAGCATGCATCGAGGTTTATTTCCTTGATAAGGGAGGAGCACCTCGAGGCAGTTAGAAAAGACTGCAGACTGGAAGAAGAAGTAGTACTGTAGATACCTTCCCCGGAAGAGAGCATCATGGCTCATGTCGAGGGGTTTTTGAACGTATATACGTACCCCTTTACGTTGGGCCCCTTGATAGAGTCGTGCTCGAATTTTGTAGGAGATGTCGGGTTAACCTGGCATAGGTTCACCCGTCGTTTTGGAGGATAGTGCTGTGATAAGATATTTAGTAGATAAAGCCAGGCTCGAGTTTACCCTTAGTCATCTTCTTAGACTGCACCGGCCCTTGCATCATCGGGGCTTGATTGCTCTGCGTCATCGATCCACTCGGCCCTTTGTTTCCAGCAATGAAGAAGATGGGGACCGAGGGTGGATGTGTCGTTTCATCCGAGTGCGGACTATCGATATTATCCCTGCAGAGTTCATTCCATTTCTTGAGAAATGGAATTTCACACGTAAGTGGTACACTTGTGTTCTTATTGTTCTTGCCCATGGCGAAGGCAGACTTTGTAAAGATGCTTTCTCTTTCTTTTATTTTGCAGCCATCCCGTGGATGCACCATGAGGTTCCCGATCTGGCGGATTGGTCTCGGAAACTGGCAGCTTGCTCAACTAACGATGAGCGTAAGTGGCAAGATCTGGGCAAAGGTAGATGGGAGGCAAAACACCACGGTACGTGGTGTGTAGCTTGCTTTCTTCGAAAGGTACTTTCTTTCATGTGTACTAACTCCGTCCCCACAGGTATTGGAGATTTTTCTGAGATAAGGCTGAGCCCCCTCGGGAAGGAGGAAGAATTGTCGGCTTTGGGGTCAAGGACTAATAACAAGCGGAAGGAGTCTTCGGAGGACGAAGGTGCTCATAGCGAGGCAAGCCCTGCTCGAAGGCTCAAAGAAGATGTATCTATTGATCCTGCAGCGTTTGAGGCTTCTAGCCTTGGAAAAGTGGTTCCTCTCTTGCCACCGTCTTTATTTCCCGCCGAAGGTACTTCAAGGGATACAGGTGTTCAGCCGCCGTCCTCTCCCCCCGTCGAAGGTTCTTCGAGGGATGTTCGAGACCAGGGGCCGCCTAAATCAAGTAGGGTCTCGAGCGACCATGTCCCCGACGAGATTGGTTCGACTGGGGCCAGTGAGACTAGGCCAGTAGGTGCACGCTCAACCTTTTAGGAGGCTCAGCGGCTTTGTTCTGTGGTGAGCTTTGATCGACTTCGTCGATCTCCTGATTTTATATTTTCGTTTTTCTCATTGAGCTTCTTTTTCGCAGGTTTTTGACAAGCTCAAATCTGAGATGCTCCACTGTGAAGCCCGGTTAAGGAAAGCCTTGGATGGGGAGAAGTCCCTCAGGCTTCTTTGTGATGAAAGGGGAAAAAGAATTGAGGCACCTTCGGTATGAGGCGAACCGAAGCCTGAACTACGAAAGCCACCTTGAGAAACAGGTAACTTTTGCTCCGAGGGGATGCATGATCCTTTTCCTATCCTTAGAGATTAATATTTTGATACCTCAGTTGCAGAGCAAGACAGAGGATTTGGAGCTCTTTAGGGGCGAGGTTGGCCAGGCCAGGCGTGAGTGTAACGAGCTAAGCGCTCAGATAGATGCCCAAGTTGCGGCCAAGAAACATGTCTGGCCAAGGTTTCTACCCTCAAGGTGCAGCTCCGAAATGCCCGTGAAAATAGCTCGGTTCAGACGAGCAGGAATTCAAGGCTCGAGTCCGACCTTTTGGAGATGAAGGCCGAGGCTGTGGATGCCCGGGCAGAAGCTGAAGAGATCCGAGCTAAGGCTGACAAGAAAGTGGCTATCTATTTAAAAGATACTGCCGAAGCTCGGGCTAAGCTGAGAGGGGCTTCTGATCGAGACAGCAGAAGCAATGAATATGCCCGATGTAAATCTCGGAGGTAAACCCTCAAAGAGATTCACGCCAGGGGCTTCGATCTCTTGGAAGAGATAGCGCAGGCCAAGGCAGATGAATACGACGCCAAATTCCACATATCAGACGCTGAAGATAGTGGAGAAGGGGCTGATGGGGCCCCAGTCGCGAAGGGGAAAAAAGACTAGGCTTTTCCTTCTTGATTATTTGTACAGTGTTCTTACAGAACTTTGCAAATGGAGCTTTTTGTATTTTTTTCGCGTATGCATATAAAAGAAAACCTTTCGGTTTCACCTTTCATGCATTTCCCTCTGCTTGTGTATGCCTTCCTTTGTTTTGAATTTATATGTTTGTCGACGATTATCCAGGTGAACTGGACTTCGAGTAATAACCCTTAGGTATATAATTCGGCCCTGAGGCTTTGCCAGGCTGGCCCGTAGGCTCTTACGCGAAAGGTCGGTACGACTTTTAACATAGGTTGGTGTCACACCGCCTTTTTCCTTACTACACCTCGTAAGGAGTATAATAAAGGGAGTTATTTCCAACTTGAAGTGACAATCGAAACGGGATTTGTTATTAAGGAATTCAGAGTCGCCACTTGGGAGATTTATGGTGTCCCAAGTCACCGGTTTGAATCCCGAATCGAGGAAAGGGTTTGACTCTGTTAACAGTCCGTGAACCAGAAATCCGAGTAAGGAATTCTGTTAACCCAGGAGAAGGTGTTAGGCATTCCCGGGTTCCGTGGTTCTAGCACAGTCGCTCAACTGTCGTATTTGGCTTATTTATCTGATTCCAAAACATGTTTTAGCTTATGCTTTTTAACTTTGAACCGCTTTTATTGTTATTATTTTAAGAGAATTGCAACGTCGTGAAAACACGTCTCGAACCGCGTCACATAAATGCACCCGCGATTTTTGACACATTTCGACTTCGTTGGGATTTGGATTTGGGTCACATAAATGTGCACCCGTATTTGGGAAGGTAAAATCATTTAAATTGTGTGCCTAAAGCAACTACGCGTTGTTAACTTTGCGAGGGCCATGGAAAGTTCGCTAATGGCACGACTCGAATTCAAAGGATTAAAAAAAAATTAATTAAGCGAGGGCCATGCAATTGTCACTTTTGTTTGTCACGGCGCACCTCGACCTATTCTAACCAAATGGTTTTTAAACTAATCTGCGAGGGCCATGAACTACTTGTATTATGATATGGCTCACCTCAATTATTAAAGGGCTATCGATCATATGAGCAAATAAAGAGCTAGTTAGTTCTAAGAAAAGGCCAAAAGTTGAAGGTAAAAAAAAGAAATTGGGCTAGGCATGAAGCCCAACAGCCTATCGTGGCTAGTGAGGCCAATCAGTTTCCATTCACATGGACTCGTGGTCTAGAGCCCACATGATGACCCAAAACGTTAAGAGCTAAAGGCTGAATCAGCTCAAGTTCGAATCTCCACTCACACATAGTATATGAGATCCAAGACATTGACACGAGCCCTAGCCTTTTTGAGAAAAACTAGTGCAAGCATTAAAACAAACCACTGAACTTTCCATTTTTGATTTTAAAATCAAATTTAGTTCACAATCTTTCAAGCATTCAAGAACTCATGTGGGGAGTATAGGCAATACCCAGCTCAAGTGATTAAACCGGAATTCAGATCTTTGTCCATAAATTAACTTGACCATGCGATATACAAAACCAAATTCTAACCAAACTTAACAACTCTGTTGAATACTCAAGCCCAAAATAAGAGATCCAGACTCACATTTAAATCCATGTTAGACACATACTGATGCATTCATAAATTAGATATTGTGGAGACTGAATGAGACATGCTTGTTTTTGAACCTTCATTTCCAAATCAAAAGACAAACAGTTCAATTTTTATCCTAATTCTAATCTAACACATTCTCATGATGAGCATTCACATGTCAAAATTGAAATATCACTGAAGTACCTAGTTGTATAGTCACATTTCCCCTTTAACATGGATTCTATACTAATAACTACTCGAAAATTTAAAATTAAGCATGCTCCTCTCAATAGTAAGGGATACAGAAGTTGTCCTACATATTGATTTCCAAATGAACTAACTATCCAATTTTTGTGATCACATATAGTTTCCAGACCATGCCAAGCATCTAACACAACCTTCCATGCACATTCGATATTCATCACAATGAACTACAAAACTAGTGTTACTACATCATCCCATATTCAAAACAAACAGAGGAAAAAGATATAAGAAGATCAAACAACTTCAGAAGTGCAAAAACATTAAATAAACCACTGTATTATCACAGATTTCCACTTGAATAAACCAATCTCCATATTCAGCCATTCTCATA